CACCCTCCTCTCTTTCCGCGAAGCCCAACGTTCAGAAAACCGAGACGATTCTATTTTTCTATCACCATCGTAAATCGTTTATTTGTATGGGGGTTGTTGAGTACTTCGACTAGTTGGGTAATGTCCGTTGGATAATCCTAAATGGTAACTGTATCGTTTATACTATACCTGGCATACAAATCTAGACTATCAATATTGTCCTTCAATGGTCCAATTTTGAGCTTGACTTAATGTATCTACCGCGATAGGTACGATGTCTCAGAAAGACTTGTCCTACGGGATTTAATGAGAAGTAACAACTTTGATCTAGGTAACGCGTATATTGTTGTTGAAAATCCATGCTTTCCGGACTGTTCTAGCAGAACACTGAAAGAAAACCGTTTAACGAATTAGCCTGTCTTCGGGGATGCATCAACTGGCGGTTACAGCATATTCTATATCGCGTGATTCTCTCTAAAAATGATGCAATATAAAATGCAGTTTGTTAGTCAGTTTATTAATCCGTAATTTGGTTGGCACAATACCTATTTTTATTATCCGCTGGTTGAACAGGGATAGACTAAGCTGACTACTCATTTGTATTACATTTGTTTCGAGAAATCCCATTCACCCAGTTCGACTTGTCTCTTGTCTGTCTATCTGTGCGCACGCGCCATAGAATGATCCACTGTGATCGTACGTGTGTGTGTGTATCTATGCGTTTGCGATCCATCCGACAGATCGTCTGCTCTTTCTCCACCCCCACTTAACTCGTCCAACGAACCGCTCTTTTTACTCAGTTGACCAATTTGTTGCCCTATCGTTCATCCATGACGCAGACTGGTCTTTGTGGTAGTTGCTGTTTGTTGTTGGTCCAAAAACTGATCTGATTTGGCTGTTTCACATTCGGTTGGCCCCTTGTCAACCAAATCGATCTGTTGCAATTACTCGATCGAGTCTGCTCACCCGAGCTCACGTATTGTTTGTCCATCTGTCCTGTTAGCCTCGCTCGTGCCCAGATTGTTGCTTTGCCCTGTCATCGTTATTTGACATTGCTATTCCGTATACTCGCTCACGTGCCATCTTATGTATGCTCGGGGGTCTGTCGGATTTGTGGTCTGTTTGCCTTGCGCGCCTCTGACGTTGTGATGCTCATCGAAGCGAATACGTGCCGGGTAACTGTCATCGATCCGAAATATTCAATTCTGTCCGATTGACGAAAGTTTACCCTTCACTTTTACCAGTCCTACGATTTCTTCACGATATACCACTATTCGACTTTCGCCGACCTCTGTTGGCAACTCAAGACCTAAGTGAATTTTGTAACACACGTTTAATATTGCACAAACGCAACTCACAAATTAATGTTAGTCGTAGTTATTTGATAAAGTTTCAGGTTATGCATCAGTCGATAGGTAAATGGATTGATTTTTATGGTAAAAAGGCAGTTTCTGATTTATGTACTCAATTCCCATTCTAAATCTCTTCTCCGCGATGAATTATTGTCGATTCCCTTGTTAACGATTATCCAGATGATCATGTACTAGTCTCTCTTTAGGATAAAACTGTCAAAACGAAACCCCGTTTTGGGACAGTGTTTTCGTCTGGTATACTCACCCATTGCCACTTTCTCGCACAGGTCTTGATGGCTCAGCTCGTAAACCGAGTCATCTGGTCTCGCCCGCGGTTCGATCTGCAAGCAATCTACCCGTGCTGGGCAGTCGAATCCCATCCGTCTCACATACGGCCGTTCGTGCTAGTGGATTGCCCAGAGCGACATGTATCACAATGGGGCCATCACAACCGTCTCCACATACAGCCACACCACCGACGTCTACGACGCGAATCCCAAACAGCAATAACAACACAACGGACACACATACGGCCACGGTTACAGATTTACTTGTGGAGGGTGCTGAGGTAATTGTTTTTGAACTCTTATTCTGGTACGGCCGGACCAAGCACGAGGAAACATTTAGATGGAGGTAGATGAAAGTCGCTTATAGCAAAATTGGTCATACCGATAGGTCAGGGCAAAAAGACGGGATGCACTTTTTATTATTCCCAATTAATTTATCAAAATATGATGTGTTTAGAGTTTTGTGTGCCGGTTGACCTTGAGTAACTTGCCAGAATCCATTTCAATTGCGTACTTGANTTGACGTGGATTGTCACGAGATAGGTTGGGGTAGATTTATAGTTCATGCATCTGTTCTGAAGCTGGAAATCCGATTTTCACAAATCAGACACAGTTTCACTGGGCACTCTGATGAACTGATTGAATTGTATCCTCTCCGTGGATTCTCCCTTGGGGAAGGTAGAAGGGGGGATCAAATTCGGTAAGGTGAACAAAACGATCACNATTTTCTCGGAAGAGGTGATTAAGGTGAATTGACGCATTCCATGTTAGAATGCAAGTAATGTACAACATATTTTCCGGAGGACTTTCATACACAACTCTGGGCCTCCTGATAACAATATTCAAGTCGTACAGGTCATCATATCCGGGCTCTTTGGTCCGAGATGCGAATCCGGCTTCTGCCAGCCAACCTTGGTGTGTGTGTGTGTTTGTGTGTGTGTTAGGCAGCTTTGATGTGTTCCGGCTCAACATCGCACCGATTCTTTGCATTTCCCTACTCCAAGTCGGTTTCCTGAACTCAGCAGCAGGTCTTCGTAACCGTGGAGCTTATCTCTCACTATTCATCATAGTGATAGATGTAATATGCGAAATGAAGAAAAAAAGCTCTTTTCATAGTACAACTTTTCTTTTACCCTCTTTTTGTGCGTCTAGTCTCTTTCCTTGCTTGTGTAATGTGTTCTCCATTAATAGCCCTCGGTCAGTCTCTGGTTCAATCCTGAGCCTGTTTTTTATTGGCTGATCAAATGCGTAGGCAGGCGAACGATATTGATCACCATCGAACCATGTAAAAAGAATGCTGTCACAATCAAGCGGTTTTCGTATACAGTTGGCCAGCTCTCGTTGCCTAATTGTGTGATTTCATCGTACTCGGTCAGTTATATTCAGCTGCAGATGCATTAAAAGGTAACTGAGAATTCAAGTTAGAAAAAATGAACATTTCGGTGAGGGTGTTCAATCGTTATCGTACATGAAAAGTAGCTGAGCTCCTAGCAGTTGATGATGGTTGCTCATCGGAAAAATAATGCATTAAAGCGAATAATCCGTTAAACTGGTGGGGAAATTTGACGTTCTATCTTACTTCGATGACTGCATCATTATCATCATCATCGTATAGCAAAATACGGGGAGGCGAACTTCACTGATCGCTGCCAAACTCACAATGTATATGAATTAAGGTTTGATGGATGGGTACTGTTAGGGTGTCCAGTCACTAAACAGGAGAACGATTTGGGTTCTCAGTCAAAGCCTTTGGTTCTGACAAGAACCTAACCGCAAGGCAGTGGGTGAAGCGAAGTGGAGGCCCATTTACTTGGACCAATTACTCTTCCACCATTTTTCACCGACTGAAATGCAGATTCTAGTCGGACCCCCAACCTGGAGGACCAGGAGACTGGACTTCGTCCGACCTCTACCCTTCGACCTTCGGCTTGAAGAAAGCCATCGTGTGTAGTTCGTTGGGTCAGAGGTGCATAAGCCATCACAATACGTCAAAGTGCAATCTGAAACACAAATGTTGATGAACATTTTTAGAGTCAACTGTTTAGTTTAACAGGTAGGATGCACTCGAAAAAGCCGGATTTGAGTAGCCCTCAGGCAATTTCCACGATTTAAGGTGTCCACTAAGCGACAAATCCCGGTCCTATTGGAAGTAGTGAAACAGATGAGCCGACTGTAACAGAGCAATACAAAAACTGCGGGGATCGAGTGCGACGTCCTATAAGCCCCATTCGATGAGCGCAGAACCAAACCGTATTGATTGCCTATCTACGTTGAAAAGAATCATGTCACAATGCTTCGGAAATTGTCTGTTTGAAATTAAAGCGGTTGCCAACTTCACTTAATTGTCAGAGACTGGCCGTTAGGTGCGAAGACTGACGACAAACTGGTAGCGACAGGGGTTTAAGCAATCGCGGACAAATACGCCCAACGACGAATGACTTCGATCAGTTGATTAACTGAAGTTTGACATGATATCCGAACATGTTTTCCTACAATTCTCGGATTTTGACAAAGACGGATCGCGGGATATCACATAAGTCGACGATGAGAAGAATAACTCGACCGT